GACCTACTGGATTTTCTCTCAGAACTCTACTAAAGGAAGAGACTGGGAGAGTGGAGGGTGGAGGTAAGATGGGAGTGGCTGAGCTCCACAGCTGTGATTTTCAAAAGTGGTTGATCATCAGTATCATCTGGGAAGCTTTTCAATTATCAGCCTGTAATTAATTGAATTGTGTCTCCCTAAAAGGCACGTTGAAGTTCCTACCCCTGTGACCATGACCTTGCTTGGAAATAGAGTTTTGGAAGATATTTCCCGTGTAGTTGCTATGAGTTAGAAGCAACTGGAAGGCAGTTAACAACACCAGTTAACATGAGGTCATACCAGAGTAGAGTGGTTCCTAACCCCATTTTACTGGTATCCTCCTGAAAAAAAAGGGGGGCAGGGCTGATGCAAAACGGTTCAATAATTGCTGTTGTTAGTGAGGGCCTTGCACTAATTACATAGTAACCATCTGTGAAGCTGTGGTATTTTGACTTGAGTAGGCAACAGTTGCATCCTGCTCAAAGATGGTGGGTGACCATCCTGCTTTGCATGAGTGCTGCTCTCTAAAGTCCAGCCAATAATGTTACTTTCCAGAAGTCCTGCCACAGTCCTTCCTCCTGAAAGTTTCAGGAGCTAGATGTGGGAGACTGGGTTATTACCAGAAATCTAGGGAACAAAACACATTCAAAGCTGAGCTGTTGGCTGTCATCTTTGAGCTGGGCACAGCTGTTTTTCCTGTTGGGGGTCCAAATTCCACAGCAGCTGATGGCTATGCAACATTTACATGGTCCTTGTTTACCACAGCAACTAATGAACCATTATGAAGACTTGGAAGAGAGACAGAGGGAAGATACTTAGGTAAAACAGAATCTACAAGCTAAGGAACACCTGGAGCTATCAGAAGCTGAGAGAGGCATGGAAAGATTTTCCCCTAGAGAATTCACAGAGAATGTAACCCTGCAGAAGCCCTTAACTTGACTGGTCCCCAGAAATGTGAGACAATACATTTCTATTGTTTAAAGCCATTCGCTTTGTGGTACTTTGCTATAGTAGCAAAGGAATGCACAGTTCTACCCTAGTTCTGCTGAGCTAGATTCCCTGGAAGTGGGATCTGAAAAGGTGTATTTAAGTTTTCTAGTGTTTCTGATTATTAGGAGTCAGAATTGACTCCATGGCTCCAGGTAGTAAATCTGATAATTACCCAGATTTGGGATCCACAGTTCTAGAAGAAAAATCCTACTGCACCTACTCCTCACTTACTGACATGCTTAGGTTCCAAAGATTGCATTTTTAAGTGAAAATGGAGGACGACTACATCATTACATAACTGTCAAATTACATCATTACATCACAGCCAAACCACTGAGAAACCTGACCCGCCAAGTTGACACATAACCTTAACCATCACATTTAGCATTACTCTTGCCTTGCACCTACCTCAGCATTTGTTACTGCCAGATGTACATTGTTAAGGCACAAAATAATCTAATAGGGTTTGTACTGTTTTTTAAATGCAAAATGTCAGATAGCAAAATAGTTGATAAGTGAGGTATAAGTGTAATCAAGTGGCTGAAAATGCCCCTTCCTGCCATTGTGTGTGTGACCAGAATCTATGAGAGAACCCTATCTCCTTCCAATAAATTCATCTAGTTTGTTCTTGATGACTTCTGCTACTCACAATTTACAGTCTTAACTAAGATGCCTTTTTGGTGTGCCTCCTATCAGTTCAACTGTAGAAAGCAAATTATTCTCTTCTCTCCCCTCTTTCCATGTTTCTATTTCACCTACTGAAATTGTGTGTGGCTGTCTCTTCCATTAGACCAGGTTTTTAGAGGAGGGTAGGGGGAGAGCTATGTGATCTTATCAGAATCTTAAGGTGTCTTTTTCAAACTACCAGCCCTCCCCCACCCCACCCCACCTCACACATTCCTTACAGCTGTCTCTGTGTTCCTCACCAACAGGAATCAATTCATGATTGCTTCTTTGCAGCAAGGCACCTTGGACATATTAAGCATGTAGCAAACTCATGTCAAAGTGAAGGGGACTGCCATGGAATACTAGTGGAGCAGATTAGCAATATACTACCAAGGAGCTCTGGTAGCGTAATGGTTACGAATCGGGTTGCTAACCTCAACGTTGGCAGTTCGAAACTACCAGCTGTTCCTAGGGAGAAAGATGAGGTTTTCTGCTCCCGTAAAAATTTACAGCCTCAGAAACCCTGTGCAGGGTCACTCTCGATACTTAACAACAACCTTGGCTACCACTTGGTTAACCATCTACTATCTCTCCGAATGGGCTTGGATTGTCAGCTGAGAAAACAGACAAAACTCTACCAACTCATATCATCATTGTGCTAGTGATGAAATTGGTCTAAATGTCTGGCAAAGTGTCTTTGATTGCCACAAAACATGCTAATATGGAAAATCTGGGAGTCAGAGCCTCACAGACTTTATTTTTTTATAAAGGAAATTTCAGGAGACAAAAACTAGATCAGAATCTCAACTTTTTCATGCTGGAAGTCCTAGATATACATATGATGGCTTTTTTAAAAACAATTCTTCATATTAAAAATGGAAGCCAACTTTTCTCACTAGAAATGGTCCTATAGAATCCATCAACTTGCATACATGTAATAAGTGGCAAAGAGTAAAAAAAAAAAATTTTCAAACTAACAGCCATTCAAAGATGAGGCTTTCTGCTCCCGTAAAGATTACAGCCTCGGAAACCCTGTACAGGGTCCCTATTGCTATGGGTCGGAACTGACTCCACGGCACATTACCCACCACCACCATCATTCTTAGGTTCTCTGACAGATTGTAAGCTCCATGAAAGCAGGATACCTTTTTTTTTTCATCCCTAATTCCTGGCCAGGAGAGTAAAGTAATATTTGAGGTGAAAAAATATAGAGAATGTCTCTCCCAACAGATAGAAGAGATAGGACATGTGGTATGTATGTATGCAAGTGTGCTCAGCGCTTTGTCTCCCTCTAAGACTCCCTCCCCAGTACCCCAAAGTGATCTTGCAGACCAGGGGTACCCCCTTTTCCATGCCACAAATCAATCAGGACACATTACCAGTGAAAGTGTTTTAATAGTTAAATTATTTAAATAGACTTTTCAATTTCCATGGGAAATCATAATCGTATCCATTTTTGCAAGAGCAGGAATAAAAAGAGTGCACACCCCTTAGAGGGAATGAAGAACTAGCACTGCACGTTGTCAACAGTCACTGCTGGGATGGGGAGCGGAGGCCTTCCCCCCTCCAGGTTGGCGGGGGGCATGACCAACAGGGGCAACACGAATGAACTCAGCGCACACACTTTACTCAGGCTGGAAGCAAAAGGAAAACCCAACACCACTGGTGGGCGATATGGAGGGCAGGAAAAGTGGAGAGCAACACAGAGAAAGCCAGCCCCTTGCAAAGGAACGCAGAGAGGCGGTGCGGAACTGAAAGGGTGAGCGGCAAAAGCGCAGACAAACTCTGGCTTGGCAGTTTTCAATTCGGACACGCTGCTTCTCAGAGCTGTGTTCAAACTGGGTGGAAGGTGATGTGTGTGGAGGGAGGGTGTGCCAGTGGGTGGTGGAGAGGTGGGCATCGAAGTAACGTCTCAGCAGCTGGCATGTGGCTCTCACCTCACCTCCCCCAAACACTTGTGAGGTGAAAATAATTCTGCCCTGAGAAGCAATGAGAAGATCTGGGCACAGGTCCCAGGGCTTTTACCAGAATCGACCTCATTGTTAGCATGCCATTTTTCTAATGCTTCCCTCATAGCTTAGGGAAAAAAAAGACAGCAAACACTAGACAAAATAAAATGTCTGCCGGCTTTGTCTCGTGGACTACGAAGCTGGATGCTACCGTTCCTTTGGTCTGGCTGGCAGGTGGAAGGCAATGGCAGCCCATTCTCCGAGCCTAACGGGCTGCAGGTTGTATCCCTAAGGCTTCCACCAGACCCCACCCGACCAGCAGAGGGCGCGAGCATCCCTGCTCACCGTATTCGGCCAGAGCCGCTGCAGCAAACGCCTGACAATCCAGGGAGAGCAGGAGGGGCATGGTGGCCAAACTATTTGCGCCGTTTGGTTCAAATTGTTCCGCTTTGGCCTGAGATGGAAAAGAAACTATTGGGTATTTTTGTTTTTTCTTTTCATGCCGATGTTGGCGCGTGTGTGTGCTAGAGAGAAAGTGACAGAGTGATGTCTCTATGTATTTTTCTCCTTAATCTGAATGTATGGGATTTCAAACAGACACACCCACGGCTTCGGCTGTACCTGGACAAACTGGAAAACTGCCAAGTCTGAAGTGAGGGAAACGCGTCCTGCGTGAGACCAGTTCACGGCATAAACACACACACCCATACACCAGCACGTACACTGACATACGTACAGTACAAATGAGCACAAACGCCCCGCTGTGCACAGCTGTTTTCTAATATAGAGAATTTACAAAATATAGAATTTGGTATATCTGTTAGATCTCCAAGGTTTTCCATAATACAAAATAAAAAATACAAAAAAGACACGTTGGGGTCCCCGCCCCCTCCCCACCCCCAGTGGCATCCTGCTGAAGTGTTTGTTCCTCGTTGGCTTGTGTGTCTCTTACACGCATACAGCTAGCGTAGTCTAAAGAGGGGCACAGAAAACTTGTTTAATAAATATTTTTTCTCAGAACCACTACTCTTTGCTTGGAGTCCTCTTGCCTCCCCTTTGCAATAAGTTCTGCTTCCTCTAAAAGGGACACCGTGTACAAAGCGTAGGAGAGGGACTGCGATGAAGGCGACAGTCCTCCCAAACACAGCACTAGGGCCGGAACCCCTCCACGGCGCAAGGCCTCGGTCTGTATTGTAAAGGCTCGCTCAGACAAGCAGACACCTGGGTCCCAGGCTCCAGTGGCACCGCCTACCCACCCATCTGAGGCTGAGGCCCCGCCCTCGACCCCCGCTCAGCGTGCCAGGCTGCCCCCCACCGAGAAATACTCCCGCGGCTCCTTCCCGCCACGCAGCAGCACCCGTTAGAAAACTCAAGATTCAGACCGAGTCTAAGCAGAGTCTTCTACAGAGGGAAACATCTTTGGTCAGCTTGGTGCTTGCAGGACGCCGGCACGCGGGGCCTGTGACGGAGGCTGCTGCCTCTCGGCAAGGACAGCAACAGCTTCTGGAGTCAAAGTGGAAAATCTCACCAGCGTGGCCACGTGGGCTGGAGCGCAGGCGTCCCACCTGCCCACCCGGCACACAAAGACGCCGCTCCCATTTCTCTGGAGGCCAGGCTACCTGGCACCATGGCTGGCAGCTGCTAACTCAGCGGGGGCCCTCCGTTGAGGAAGTAGGTCATCATCTCGCCTTTGCCCTTGACCTTGACCACACCCCGGCACTCCAGCTGGTAAGTGTTGGCGGCCAGTACCTGGTACATGTCTGTAGTGACCTGAGGAGGCAAAGGAGATGAGAGAATGGACCACAGGTGGCCCAATTCTGCCACTGCCCTTGGCACTGAGCAGGGCAGCAGCCCCTTCACTGCAGGGGCATCTAGGAACTGACAGTCCCTCATAGAAAGAATGCTGCCACTGTGTGCAGATAAACACTATCCCTATTCTCAGGAGGTGCAGCAAATCTAATCACTTGCCTGAGGTTATACAGCTAACAAATGGCAGAGCCTGGATTCACTGCAGATCTTGTTGCCTGCCTGTGCTTCAGCTTTTGGAACAAAGGCACGAACTCACAGGCTGCTCTATCCCTAGGTGATACAAATGGTTAACACATTCAAACACACTCAGCTGCTAACTGAGTTCACCCAGAGGCGTCTGGTGATCTACTTCCGAAAAATCAGCCACTGAAAACCTTACTGAGCCCAGTGCTACTCTGACACATATGGGACCATCATGAGTTGGAATCACCTCACAAACAACTGGTTTGGGTTACTGCAGGGTAAAAGGGGAAAGCAGGGAGAGACGGGAGCAGGAGCAGGGAAAAGCAAGACAGACAGATGCCTCACAAAAGAATTCCAGAATCATTTCTCAACATACTCAGAGCTCCCCTGAAGCCTGTCCTGGTGCCGCCAGCTGTCAGGGACCAGGGAAGAAGAGGAGTGGTGGTTGCAGCAAGGGCACTTAGCTTTGAATTAACTGCTTCATTTACGGTGAACCCCTCATGCCTGTCTGAGATTGAATTCCTGACTGAGGCTGTGAATCCAAGCACACCCTCTCTCTCCCATCCTTCCTCTGGACCCCTCCACCCCTTCCCTTCTGGCAGAGGGATGGAGGTGAGAAAAGTTGCCTCACAGAGCATCCCACAGCCAGCCAGGAGGGGTCAGTCAAGCCCCTTTCTTCAGACATTCCTTAAGGGAGAGAAGTTAAGGAACATTTCAAGTATTTGTCAGTGTGGACAAAGGGCCTTAAAACCAGCACAATTAGCACTTGGGGAAAACTGAAACCAGGGAAGCTATCTAACCAGGCCAGGGTCTCACAGGGAAGGGGGGATATGTGGGGAGGGCACGATTAGAGCCCAGAGCCCCAGGTCTTGACTATTGTCAGACTGCTTCAAAAAGAGTCAAGCTGCCAAGGAGAGGCAGGCCTGGGACTCACAAGCATCAGTCGCTAAGGATGAAGAGAAGAGGAACACCTCTGGGTCTCTGGCCAAATCCCTTTGCTGCTAGGACTGGTGGAGGCAGTGTTCCAGGGACCAGTACCTGGTCTGACTCATCTGGAAACCAGCCCCTTGAACCAGGCCCCTGAGTAGAGGGGTCCCTGTTAGGTTAAGACCCTGATGACTGCTACTTGAGGTCATAGAAAAGTTGTGGCTCCCCATTCAACACCCCAGATTTGACATCAGCAGCCAGGGTCTCCTCTCCTATAGTTCCTTGTCTTGCCAAGTAGAGAGGGCTTTCCAAGGGGCCGCAGATCTGTTCAAGGTACTGATGTCTTGGACCACAAACACATTCTCTAAGTTTCTAAGGTATCAGTACCACCCTTGAATCTTCTGCAGAGCTTCTGACTGGGAATTGTGGGTGGCCAGTCCTAAAGTCTTCTTAGCACAAGACAGAGAACCTCCCTTAGGGGAAAGGTGGTAGGGATGCTCCTGCACTCACCTGGATGCGGTCAGGCACACCAGTGCTGTCCATGCGACTGGCCACATTCACCGTATTTCCCCAGATGTCGTATTGAGGCTTGCGAGCTCCGATGACCCCGGCCACCACAGGGCCAATGTTGAGCCCTGCAGGAAGGAGATAGAAGTCAGCCACGTGCATCAGGATCAAGACCAATTCTTGCCTGGCTAACTTTATCACCTCTCCATAGACACCAGAGGGTCTCCCTCTGACCCCTGAAGACACTTAGGGTCCTGAGACCAAACCTAACCCTCCTACTTCTCTCCTATCAATGTTTACTAATTATCATGCACTCAATGCCTTCTTGACTCGACGGCACTTAACAACAACAACAACAACAACAATGCCTTCTTGAGCTATGAAGACTGGATGAATCCCCAAAACAACTACTCTGAGATAATCTTTAGGATATAAACCAAACATATCTTCTGAAGTCCTCTTAAAGCCAAACTATAGTTTAGCATAACTAATCAAACAAACAAACAAAAAGTCTGCCTTGGGCTGTATGATCTTTTTAAAATCTATCTACATGTGATCAAACTGACAGCAACTCGACAGATTTAGATAGGAACTTTAAGGGACAGTGAGTTTATGTTAGTGGGGGAAGAACAACTCAGAAAGGGGGGTGAAAGTTGCACAACATGAAGAATGTAATCAATGTCACCAAATGGTACATGTAGAAATGATTGAATTGGTATATGTTTTTCTGTGTATATTCTCAAAAACAAAACAAATACATTTTTAATGCTCATTAAGTCCAACACCCACTGCTCCCGTGTCCAGGGCTCAGCTCCTGCAAGTCCATCTCCATGTCTCAGCCCAAACTGGGCTCAGTGACCTCTCGCATTACCTTTATCTTCTCTCTCCGGAGCATTTATGTTCTCACCATCACCTCAGACACAACGTAGCAGAAGTCACCATATTCCTCTGCCTTTCTCTTCCATTTCTTTCAGTGACCCACCCTTCTCATTCTTAGAACCTATCTCCTATCCCATCTCCTTGCTCCCTGTCTCTTCTCTACCCAAGTAGTTCACTTCTCTAGGCCTCTGTTGGGCGGGGGGCACTGTGGAAAGCAAGCTCTGGGAAGCAGCACCTCCCCTCCATACAGACTCGCCATCTGTTCCGAGCACCGCTGTTCCAGCCCACCCACTCCTCAATCTCCCCCAAGGCAACACTGAGCAATCCTGCCTAAATCCTGCCCTAATGCATCAGAATCCAGCAGACATGCTCTAGACATTTTCTGCCATGGCTCCAAGCCCTGGACACTGCCTCCGTTTACATAAGCTGCCACTCTCACACTGTCTTGTTAAGCCCCATTATTGCTCAACTGCCTCTGGAGTGTGAGAGGTAGAATGACAGGCATAGGAGAACCTCAAAACTAAGCCCCCAAGGGCCACTCAGCAACACCACCAGCCCTCAGAAATCTCCCCTCCATGACCATCCTCTTTCAAAGCCACTGAAAGCTTTTCACCTCAAATCTTGGGCTGTCCTCTCACTGATCAGCCTGAGCTCTGAATCAGGGTGAAGAGAGCAGCCAGGCAGGGCTCCAGGCTGCCAGCTGCTAGGCTACTTATCTACCAATGGATGGATTCTACCATTGAATCCCCAGAATTGGTCCATAAATTACTTCAGGAGAAAAATACCAATCGAAGGGAGAAGGGAAAGTAGAAGAAGAATGGTTACATTCTATAAAACCAAGAATGGAGTTCATACAGAAATGTCAGCTACACATTTAGCTAAAACTGACTCATCTGAGCTTTTCGGCAGCCAGTGCAAAATGCAAAGCGGCCAGATCCACATAGACTAAATAAGCCAGCGTGTTCAGAGAAAGCCCAGTTCCTGATACTCGGGCCAGAGAAATGCTTCCGAAGGATATTAACCACAACATTGGCTTCTAGGAAGCCAACATTTCCGCTTAATGTGCAATTTTTGAGAACTGATATACCAGTCTTTTTGTTGCTGAATTACTTTTCCATTTCTTAAAAATCTGAAATCTGAATCATTTGTGGCTTCACACATACCCAGAGAGTTGGTAATACATTAAAATTTTGACAAGAACGAAGGTCTCCTCTTTGAGAATGCTTTCTTTTTACCTCCAGAATCCCCAAGAGGGGAAGAAAACACCCAAGAAAGCAGTTTCTACTGCAAAAGTAATTTATACTTTGCCAGACCATATATCCTGGGTAAGACAGAGTGTAAGGACAAAAAGAACTGGGAAAAACCCTTGAACTTAATAGTACAACAAATTTACAGCTGTGATTCTGAAACGATCTTGTGTACGTAGTAGAATGTATATATATATATGACCCAAGCCATGGTATTTTCAATAACCTCATATGCATGTGAAAGCTGGACAGTGAATAAGGAAGATCGTAGGAGAATTGATGCTTTTGAGTTATGGTGTTGGAGGAGAGTATTGAAAGTGCCATGGGCTGCCAAAAAAACCAATAGATCCATTTTGGAAGACGTGCAGCCAGAGTGCTTCTTGGAGGCCAAGATGGCCAAACTTCGTCTCTGATACTTCAAGACATATTGTCAGGAGGGACCAGTCTCTGGAGAAGGATATCATGTTTGGTAAGGTGGAGAAAAAGAAGACGACCCCCAGCAAGATGGATTGGCCAAGTGACATCACTGATGGACTCAAGCGTGGCAACAAGAGTGAGTTTGGCCCAGGATCGGGCAGTGTTTCGTTCTGCTGTGCGTAGGGTTGCTATGGGTCGGTACCTAACAACAGCAGCATACATATAGCAGAGTATAGTGAGTATATATACCAGAGGGTTTCAAAAAGTTCATGGGAAAATTCCAGTATCCTTAATACCATTTCCCCATAAAGTTTCTGAAGCCCCCTTGTAGATGCCTGAGGGTTTTCACTGTACTTTGCTGTCAGTGAGAAGCCCTGGTGGAGCCGTGGCTAAGCACTCGGCTGTGAACCAAAAGTTGTCAGTTTGAATCCACCAGCTCCAACACAAAGAGGTGTAGTCAGTTTCCATAAAGACAACAGCCTTGGAAATCCTCTGGGGGTAGTTCTGCTCTGGGCTACTGGGTTATTACGAGTCAGAATTGACTCTATGGTAGTGGGTTTCAACCCTTCTGTAGGCTTGAATTTGAAACTTGAAGTAAGTTAGGGTACTAAAACAACAAAGATGGCGCTGTTGGAAAGCACTGGATTGCTAACCTCAAGGTCAGCATTTCAAACCCACCAGTTGCTCCGCAGGAGAAAGATGAAACCATCTGCTCCTGTAAAGATGTGCAGCTTTGGAAATCATTACAGGATTACTACGCAATAGCAGTGCTCTTGGGTTTTAGTTTGGTGCCTACTCCCATACACATACATAAAGGGGTTTCAAAAAGTTTGTGGAAAAATGGAATGAAAAGATAATGGGATTTTCCCATGAACTTTTCGAAGCCCCCAAGTGTGTGTGCATTTTTTTCCCCCAAAGTGAGCATATGACCCTATTTCGAAACTGACCCAGAACCTCTTCTCAGAATTCCCCTTTCCATGAAGACCCTGAGAATGAGGAAGCCACTGCTCTGACCAGGCCTGGCTGTGTCCCCCCTGGGCAACACACAAGTGCTTGCAAATCTCCCCTCAAAGTGTCAACCAAGAGCAGAGGCATTCAACAAAAAAATCCAGGGAGGGCCTGTGAGATTGGCTGCTCACCACCACATCGCCATCATTTCATTCTTTAGCTGATGTAAAAGCTTTGCCAGTGCTAATAAAAGCTTTGCCAGTGCAAGAGATTTTGCTCACACACACAAAGAACACTTGGAACTCAATAAAACCTCACCGATCCATTTTGCCTCCTCAGATCACACTCTTTGAACACGTTATAAATCATCTCACTGCCAATTTCTCATGATTATTTCTTTGTGTTTTTTAATCATATTTCATTTAAAAGATTTTGTAGACCCTATGTCCAATAGTCTTAAATATTTGCAAATCTAAGGGTTTGTTACATGTTTATGAATACTTAAAATATACTATTTCTTTTCAGTGCCTTGCATTATTTATGGGATGAGCTTGTAACACCTTTAAAGAAAACACTTCTATTGTGGCACCATAGGATATGCACTCGACCTCAAGGTCAGTTTGAACAACACTTAACAACAATAGCAATTAAGTCATTGTTTGTTTGCTGTTGTTAAATGCCATTGAGTTAATTCCAACTCATGGTGACCATGTATAGGATTGGAGCATCTGATGAGTTTGAACCGCTGACCTTGTGGCTTAAACTGACCTTGAGGTCGAGTGCCTGTCCTACTGTAACTCAATGGTGGTGTCCTTCTGATGTGTGTGGCAGCCATTAGAGGGTCAGGTGCTCTTGGCACACAGCATCCTCCACAAATCCTTCAGGTCAGGTGCAGTCCTGGTTCTAACCAGACCTCCCCTAGGAGTGGGCCTGGGTGGAGATCAGAAGGAGAGTGTTTTGCACACACAAGCAGGAGGCATTGCCAGGCCCCATAAAGATTCTGTTGTGAGTGGTTAGTGTCCTCCCCAAACCTGGAGGGAAACACACTAGAAAGTTGGCCTCTGCTGTCCTTGGGAAAGAACCTCCTCACCTTCTGCCATTGTACCAAGATGGTGGATGTGGGAAGGGATGGGGGAGCCCCTGTTAGCACTCAGCACTCCCCGGGGTTTGGCCTCACCGATCTTCATCTGGAAGTTGTTGAAGGAGTGCTCGTTGATGTACTTCATTTGGTCCATCAGCTTCATGGCGAAGTCAGCTAGAGCCTTGATGTGGGTCTTACCCACTTTGTCATAGGTAGAGTCGTTGAGGCCCGAGGCGGCCATGTAGGTGCTACCGATGGTCTTAATCTTTTCCAGCTGCCTGAACCGATCTTCACTGATGATCTGGGCAGAAGGAAACCAAGCCAGGGTCACCTCCAAGTTGGGAGCACTGAGGTTCCCAGGTAGGGATGAGGATGCTCAAAGGAGGGCCATAGTACAGTCCCTTGTGACTACTTCACCCAGTCAGGGTCCCATCTCCACCATTACCTCCCGTGGAGCCCCGACAGAGCAAGGTGTCCATCCAGCCCCACTCACCATGTCCAGTGACACAGGGCTTCCTGCCACCCCACACAAAGAGCCCCTGGGGCAAGGTCACTGGTTACATCTGGGCCCGTTGTTCCAACAGGGGCTGATGGTCACCTACGCCCCTGCTTCTTCATGTCCCATTCCACCCAGGGGCACTTCCTCATCTTTACTCATTAAGATACCCTTCTCCTATCTCCAGACCCTGCTGCAAGCCTCCTCAGACCTATTTCAGTTAACGTTTATCCCAATGCCTCAAGGCTCTTGTTAGCTGACACTATTGGGTCCCAATGCCTTCACTCCTCACCTCCTATGCCCCAGACCCTGTATTTCCACTGGAGTTGCTCTTCTCACACTCATCACTGCTCATCTCTGAATACTTGGTGAACTCCCAAGGTTGAGAAGACCCTACTTGGCTCCACATCCCAGGGGCCTGGCACTCAGCAGGGCCTTAAATAAATGAAGAAGTATCTTTTTTTCTGCTTCTGTTACTCAGGGCCTATTCCCTGAGTAACATCTCTGTCTGCCTGCTTACTTAGCTTGGAAAGTCCTCTTTCCTTTGACCCTCCTACATCCCTGGGCACAGTCACTGACAAGGGTTACTAGGCCCTGGGCGCCCTGTCTCAGAAGAAGTTGGGTGATGGGGTGGGTGTTGGTGAGACAGACAAGCCAAGCGGGCAGGGTGCCAATGGGACACCGACTTCAAATTCAAATCACCTGAACTGAAATCCCAGCCCTGCTGTGACCTGGTAGGCTTGCCTCTTCGTCTACAACATGACGGTGGTAAAGGGCATTATACACAAGGTGCCTACTACAGAACCTGGGGCATAGTCAGGGCCCCAACATCAGAGTGACGATCACCCTCCCAGACCAGCCCCCACCCGCACCTCATCAAAGTCAGCGATGATCTCGTTGAGCAGCCTCAGACACTCCACCCCCTCGTTGTTTGCCTCTAGCTCCACGTAGAACTCGGAGAAGTTGGCGATGGAGGCGAACATGACGGCCACGCACTCACAGGACTGGTAGTAGAGTTCGTCATTGCGGCGCTCGCGGGCCAGAAAGTGGGCGGCCACGTCCTTGGGCAGGATGTTGTGTAGCAGCCTGCGGTTGTACGCCTGCAGCTCCTCCATCTCCTCCTTCTCCTCTGTGGCCTGAGACAGAGGACCCGGTCAGAGGGGGAGGCAGAGAGGAGGCTGAGGCTCAGGGCTTAGGAAGACAGCTCGGTCACTCAAATGGCTATGGGTTTCCAGGATTTCAACACAAGCCCAGCTTTCTGTTGTCCTCTCTAAACTGTTCTCTATTTCCAAGTGTTCTCTGAAGAGCACCTCTTACTTTGAAGGTAGATATTTATAAACATCTAACTCTCCCCATAAAAGGAGCTCTGGTAGCGTAGTGGTTACGAATCGGGCTACGAACCACAAGGTCAGCAGTTAGAAACTACCAGCTGTTCCGCGGGAGAAAGATGAGGCTTTCTACTCCGGTAAAGATTTACAGCCTCGGAAACCCTGTACAGGGTCGCTATGAGTCGGAACCGATTCCATGGCACTTAACAACAACAACAACTCTCCCCATAGAAGCGAAGTCCCTTAGAAGCAAGGATGCTGAGACTTTGGCTCACTCGTTTTGGGCATGTTATCAGACAGACATTTTGTCTGCTAGAGTGTAGAGGGCAACGCTTCATGAGATGCACAGACCAATGATCATGAAGATGGTGCAAGACCAGATGGTGACGTGATTCGTAAGGTTGTCAAAAGTCGGCACCAACTCAATGGCAACAACTCTCTCTTGCCTCCCTCTTGGAACGGGATGCATTTGAGGGTGTTTATCTTGAAGGAGGGAATCCCTGGGAAGAAGGATTCCCAGAGAAGACGCCATAAAATCCCGTCTGCCCAAGACTAGAACTGGGCAGGAGGTTCAAGGGACGGCCTAGAATCGCACCCAACAGGCCTCTCACTGCCCAGGTGTACCTCATCTTTTTATTTGTCTCTTAATCTCAGAAAATCTGTTTGATAAGCATCACCTTAATGGACTAACTCCACAGGGAAATGCCACTCAAAGTCCTGGCAAGTCTCTTGGCTCCCATCAGAGCAGGCTGGCTCCTAACAAGACCTGCTGGGGGATGCACTGATGGGAACATCACCCTTGGCACCAGCTCTACCCCAGTTTGGACTCTGGGACTGGTAGTTATAGTCTTGGGCCATTTTCCCTCTAGTGCGATGCCCTTAGGTCAAGAAATGAGTCTGGACATAAAGTGGTGGAGAGGTGGTGGAGCCACCAATGACTGACCAAAGCGTTTAAGGTAGAAAGAGGGCTACAGAGCGCCACCTGCTGGCTTCTGTACCCTCCAACCAAAGCCAACCCACTGCCATTGAATTGATTCAGACTCACAGTGACCCTATATATAGTAGAGTAGAACTGCTCCATAGGGTTTTGGAGACTTTTCGGGAACAGATAGCCTCATTTTTCACTAGCAAAGCAGTTGGTGAGTTTGAACACAACGTGTAATCTACTTCACCAGCAGGGTCCAGTGGCAAATGGGCCTCAGGAGCGTCTGAGCTGGGAGTGACAGCATTAGTGAAGAAGGCAGCAAAAGGCTCATTGGCAAGGCTTTTGAAAAGATCCAGTCAGCCTGCTTGGGCCTTTTCCAACTAAACATAGAGCCCTTTCTAATTGGCTTCAACCAAAAACTCCAAAAGGGCCAGGACTACTCTCAGGGCCTGACTCTTCCTATGGTTGCTGCCTGTCCGTGGGAAGGAGCTGGCACACTCACCCAAGGCTACCCCAACCTGCAGGAGGGAGAGCAAAGGGCCCCATGACTCAGGGCCTTGCTTTGCCTCTCAGTTAAGAGGGTCCTTGATTATTCCTCTCAAAGCCTGTCATTCCTGGCGCTCCAGGGACATGTGACCAGGAGGGGAGGACTGGGCTTTTGCCAGAGGAAGCTCGTAGACCCTACAGGGACCCTGAGTTCCATCTTGTCTGCTGGGTCCAGTTGGCAGGTGCTGTCTTGCTGTCCCAGCCTTTCAGCCCAAGGACTTGCTTCTGTGAGGTGGGGCACTTTGACCATTCCCCTCCCAGTAGATAAGGGCTACCTGCTGCTCGCTCTGAAACAGGTAGTCCAGAGGGAGAAGACTGGAGTGGAAATCTCTGTTCTCCTTGCAGGCTGCCCCATGCAGGAGCCTCGGCAGCTGGGTCCATCTGCCCCTGACAGCCCTGCCACTCTGCCCGCTGAGTCCCAGGGAGCCCCAGGGGCCCTCAGCTACCTCCCAGAGTGCTTCTTGCATCAGCCAAGATTCTACCCCAAGTGCCAAGCAGAGTGGAGGTGGAGGTTGGGGCAGGACAGGATTCAGGGAGCAGAGCTGCTGCTGGGAACAGTGGGCCAGGCACTCCAGCCACTTCTGGGGAACTCCACACTAAGGCAAGATGAGCAGCTGCCAACACACCCAACTGCTTCTAGGTCTGGTCTCTGGCAGGGCAGAGAAGCTCAGGGGACTTTAATCAGGAGATCAGGTTCGGCCAGGGCAGGCCCACTGGCAGCCCTCGGAGAGCCTTGTGTGTCATTAGGAGGCTGCAGTTTCAAAACAGGGTTTCTGCTTTGTCAGGTGCTTAATGAACAAGGGAGCCACCAGAGAGACCATCACCTGGACTCACAGCGAGAGCCTGACCTGCCTTCATGTGTAGGCTATTCCTAAAATCCGCAAGTGCCCGGATAGGAGGGGACACAGGAGACAGCAGAGTGCTTTAGGGTCGGGCCAAGTCACTATCCTCAACAAGACTTCCTCTCTAAGATGTGAGCGCAATCTGAGGTCACCTACAGTGGACGCAAGTGGAAAAGAGCACTGGGCCTGAAAAGGACACAGGTGCTGGGCACACCATGCATTCCAGTGTCCCAACAGGATTGAGGCTGCCTCCCAGCTCGTCAAAGCCCTAAGTACCTGGTGGGGCCTTGCAAAGGGCTCAGGCTGCCCCTCTGCTTCTTGAGCTAAGGCCCCCAGGTGTCCCCACTTCCCCACCAGAACCCTGGCCCCCAAGCACCATGACTACAGATCCAACAGCAAAGCAGGCTGTGGGCAAGGAGGGGTGGCCAGACCCGTTTTCAAGTTTTTGCTTGGATTTCTTTTATGCTGTTATTTCCCCTCTCACGAAGGCCCAGGGGAAGGTGGGAGGTGGAAGGAAGTCCTCGTGTAGCTGCTTGCTCTCTCCCGGGTGCTGTGGGGTGGGGGTGCCTCCCATGCCCCAGGGCCACCCACCTGCAGTTTCCAGAGGAAGTCAAGGCGGGCGGTGGACTCCACCTGCTGGGCGTGCAGGTACAGGGCCAGCACAAAGACAGAGATGACGATGGGAGTTACCACCTTCAGTGCCACCTTGGTCGCGTGCTCAGTGCTGCAAGTGGGAGGGAGATCGGAGACCACCCTGGCATCTCATGTCATGCTCCAGACAGCCACCCCCAACTATAGCCTTTCTTTTCTCTCCCACTATAGTCTCCTCCCTTCATATTCTCCTGAGGTATGCCTCCTCCAGGAAGCTTTCCTGGCTGGTGGCCCACACCTGCATGGTCTCCCCAGTGGCCCTTCTAAATGGCAGCGTGCACATCCCAGGTCTTTCTCAGTGGACCGTTCAGTGGCACAGGCTCAGTACCAGGTGCCATACTGACCCTGTCACTGGGCAATCTTGGGCAGGTTTCAGCCTCTCTGAATTTAGTTTCCTTGTCTGTAAGATGGAATAACAATAACCGCATTCCAAAATCAGGGGAAGGATAAAAAATGCATTATGTAAAATGCTAAGCACAAAATGCTTCACAAAAAAAAACAACCAAACCCACTGCCATCAAGTGGATTCCCAATTCATAGCAACCCTAATATAGGGTTTCTTTAACTATAAATCTTTATGGGAGCAGAGAGCCTCATCTTTCTCCCTCGGAGTGGATGGTGGTTTTGAACCGTCCACCTTGTGGTTTGCAACATAATGCCTACCCCACAGTACTACCAAGGTTCCTTACAAAACATTTGTTGTTAATAAGTGCCTTCGAGTCAGTTCCGACTCATAGGGACCCCGTATAGGGTTTCCAAAAAGCAGGTGGTGGATTTGACTTGTTGACCTTGCAGTTCAAACCAACCTGTGGTTCAGTGCTTATCTTATTGCGCCACACAAGAGGCACACAGGCACTCAAAAAATGGTATCTGTTATATTGTCTTATTCTGTTTCTGTTAATATTCATAATAAATACTGTTAATAAAAGCAGCCATTCTGAACCAGCAAAGAGTCCCAAACTTTGAACACTGTGTTATAACCCCTGACCAGGCCCTCCATTTGGGCCTCACCCTACAAACCTGCAGACCTCTCTTCTCATGATACCCATGCCCAGGCCTCTCTGGGGACAGAAACGCGGCACAGGCTCTTGTTTCCTTGTCCCTGATTCCTGGGGAAGAGGCTGAGGTTACATGCTTTAAAATGAGACCCATGGAGTGACCTGTGGTTCTAATAATTCCAGATACCGTGGCTGCGGATCATCTTGGAGTGTTGAGGATTATAAAAGACAAGAAGGGTATTTTCTTCAACTAGGGGTCCTGGTGTAGTGCTGTACGATAAAGCACTGAACTGCTAACCCACAAGGTTGGTGGGTCACATCTACCAGCCATCCCTTGGAAATCACACACAGAGTTGCTATGAGTCAGAACTGACTTCACAGTGCTTAGCAACAATAATGGCTCCTTGGTACCCCAGAAGGGGAGAATTTCCTTGCTCACTTCAGCGTCCTCCTTCACCAGCCATCCCTTGTCACAAAGGCCCTTTCCCCACCTGGGCTGTGGATGGTCTGTGCTGAGAACAGGGAGGACTGTTTCTGAAAATATGACGAAAGAGCACCCACTCACCACTGGGAGGTCCCGTTGTTGTTGAGATCTCTGTGAACAGAAGACATGGAGAAGGCTGTTGGGAGCAGCTCTTCTGCATAAGGCAGTGTCCGAGCCCATCAGTGCCCCCACCCTGCTCTGCTGATCCCCTGTTCTCCTCTTTTCTGCCCCCCACATTCGCTCTGCTGCCCTCCCAGCCTACTGTCCCTCACTTCCTGCTCTGCTGTCCCCACTACTGTTGCTCCCTCTCAAGTCCTTTATCTGTGGACTTCCCCGTTTTTACTGAAGAATGGGAGGCTCAGAGACAGCCCCAGCTCTGACTGTATCTTGTCACTATGACCACAAATCCCCCAGCTCTTACCTGGAGCCATGAGCACATCCATCCCTGCCCACAACTCCACTCAGCCCTGTTCTCTGCTCCATCAAGAAAGATGGAGAACTACTGGCCCTGTGCTGCCCAGTATGGAGCCACTGGGCACACGTGACCAGTGAGATGCAGTGAGTCCATCTAGCTGTGGGTGCAGGTTACACACCAGACTTTGAAGATTTTGTGTGATGAATGGTAAGTTACCATTAACAATACCTCATTAGTAATGTTGAAATCCAACAGAACCATCTCCCTCGTCAGCTGCCCACAGCCCCACACAACTGCCTAGTTCCTCCTTGAATCAGACTGAGAGCCTTCACTACACCTTCCCTGATTCCTCTGAGCTCGGGACACACACCTGTCACGCACACTTGTATTGCATTTCCCGGTGCATGTCTTATGTGTGTGCGTAGGAGAGGCAGGTGAGATTCAGGAAGAATCACCACACATGTGTATAAAGCTGAGAATCAAACCCAATTCAATTCAATGCCAGAGCTCCTTCCCCCGGGGGAGCTGCCCCTCTTGGAATCCAACAGCCCAGGGTGCATTCGCACACCTGCCACCTCTCTCTGTACCTCAGTGTTTTGAAGCCAAGTGGAGGCAATCCTATTTCCATGGATGCTGCTATCTGGTGGCTCAGTGTGAATTAGGAGAAGGCACCCCTGGGTAGAGGACATTGCAGAGACTGCCTTGTTTTCTTTGTAGAGGAAAAGAAGCCCCTTCACCCACAGGCACACCCCAGCTCAGCCCCCTCCCACCAGCAGGGCCTGGAGCCTCTGTGCAGCATTCCCCCGCTTCGACCAGCACACATAATGCCCAACCTTTCGTGGTGGCCTGGCCTACTTTGCTGGGTTGCTGTGAGAATAAATACGGAAAAGAAATCCTGTTAGTCGAAGTGCCTGGCTGGAGGTGAGACAGAGAGCTTGCAGGCAACAGAGGCTGTCTCTCTGTTCCCAGCTCTCCCACTCAATCTCTGGCTCCATTGAACCTTGACCCTCTGGGCCTGAGTGGCTACAGGCAATTAGGATTAGGTGCAAATAGTCCCTTGGAGACTGCTCCAGTGTTAGAAGCAAGGCACTGAGGCCAGAGGTCAGGAAACTGGAGGCAGAAGGGCAGTAAGGACTTGTGATCACTCCCTCCACAGGGGAGAGGAAGAGGTGAGGGAAACAGTGACCCTTTCCAGGTAGGTAGTCAGAGCTGAGGAGAACAGGACACTGCCCTCCCAGGTCCCAGGTCCCTAGCAGCCCCAGGACCGAGAGCCTCTGCTCTTCCCGCCTGCCCAGGTGCCCCAGACTCAGCGGGTGCTGCGTACATGGCATTAGCGGTGACCAGCAGGTCGGCATTGTCGAAGAGCGTGACTCCGGGCACCTCGACAATGAGCACGTAGATGAGCTCAATGGTCAGCATGAGCACCAGCTTCCCGATGCAGCTGATCTGCAGGAACACGGAGCAGGCCAGCAGGCTGAGCAGCACACTGTAGGTGAAGTACTGAGGAAGAGAGGAGCCTGCGTCAGACCCCGTGCAGGAAAGGCATGGGGCTGGGCAGGAGCCTGGATGTTTCTGCTGACACCGATGTGTAACTGAGGAGCCCAGGTTAGGAGCCAAGAGATGGGGCTCCAATCCACGTTTGGCCAGGACGCAGCAGTGCACTCCGGTGGTTAGCATGGGGATCCAAGCTCAAGCCGACCTGAGTTTCATCCCTGGCCCACTAAGGACTTGCTGTACGACTTGGGCTCTTTATACAACCTCTCTGGGCCTCAATTTCTCCACCTACAAAATGGGAATGCCTCAAAGGCACACTGTGACAACCATCTCAGATGAAGCCACTGGGTGTGGTGCCTGGCATCCTCAACTACTTTGAGGTGCACAGGTCCCAGCCTCTGATTTGCAATACTGAAGATGTGAAAAACAGAAGTGCTCTCAAATCTCATGTGCCCGCACAACTTGATGGAACTTAATTTGGCAGAGGAGCTGCTAACCGTAAGGTCAGCAGTTGGAAACTACCAGTGGTTCCGCGGGTGAAAGATGAGGCGTTCTGCTCCCGTAAAGATTTACAGCCTCAGAAACCCTGTGCAGGATCTCTATGAGTTGGAACCGACTCCACGGTACTTAACAACAACAACTTGGCGCTAACTGATGGGACAGTATCATCCCTCTTTATCCTGTCCCCTGCACGCTTTATATATTTTGCTGAAGAAATACGATTGTGGTTTATTATCAGGAGCTGCCCCCTTGACTCCACTGGGAGTGTAAGATCACTTTTTAAAATGTGGAAATTCTGAAGTCCTTATAATATATCTGGCCTTGAAGGTTTCAGATGAGGGATTCGGGCATTACCGAGATGTCGTTCCCAGTCTCTGAGCCTCAGACAATGGTGGGGGCTAGACCAGGTGATCTAAGGGGTCCCCTTCCACGCTACTGTCATCCCGCGATGCTAAGCCTAGACACATCAGCCTCCATGACTTTGCCCTTTCTTCTTCACTTGTTGTTGTTAAGTGCAGTCAAGTAGGTTCTGACCATAGCCACCCTGCATAGGTTTTCAGTGGAGTGGCTGGTGAGCTTGAATTGCCGACCTGGCCATTCAAACTTGCCTTGCAGTCCAGCCCATTAACCTACAACCCATTAACCTACAGCCCATTAACCTACAGCGCCAAGTTATTATATTTCACTATTCCAAAAAGAAACCTTGTATCTACCAATTTGGGGGTATAAGAAATGATGCCAAAGACCCTAATTCATAGACTGGCATGTAGTAAGTACCCCCAGTAAGTATGCTTAATGCATTCCCATCGCTTGTCCTCAGAGAGCAGCTGTGGGAGCGGCAGGGCCAGGCTTCTAGCCCAGGGTGTCATGTTGCCAGCTCTTCCCACACCCCCAGTTACCTGCTCCCCCAAGACCTCCTAGGCAGGGGAAGGTCAATGGTTGAATGTATGGGGCTCAAGTGAAACCCAGAAGACGATGGCAGACCTTGGGTATATGTGCCCTTTCTGGGGAGAGGTGCTACGCTTTCAGGTAATTCCCAGAGTGCCCATGGCTCACACCAAGGGTCAGGACTGTACTGGCCCCTAACTCCCTACACTGGAAGGATCCCCATTCACCTCCCCGATGTTCCAGCTTCCCTGTCTGTGCTCAGAGAGGCCCCTGCTTCCACACACCTGCCCTCTACATGCTGTTCCCTCACATCTGGTTAAGAGCCCACAGGAGTGTCGCCTCAAAGCTGTTTGCTAAGGAGGAGAGGCCAGTTTTGGTCTTGTGCGTGTCCCTCAGTGGTGGCTCCGTAGAAGAATCTAGCAAGTGGAGTGGGGGTGGGGGTAGATGCGGCTGGGCCTTATTGTTGAGTCCCAGTGTTTTGCATGTGAGTGACAGGTATTGGAGAAATGAGGTCTGGAGTGGTAGTGAGTTCTGGCCCTCAGAGTTGATATGCCCAGAACAGCCCAGGGCAGAGTGGGGTAGGGCAAACCTCAGCATGGGCCGGAAGATCTCTATCTGCAACCCCTACCAGCCCCTCCATGCCCAGGGTACCTCTGGGAAGTTGCAGTTGGGCCAGGGGCTGCCGCAGAAGCCCCGCTCCTCGCCCAGGCTGTAGTTGAAGGCCGACTCCACCACGTGGCATGCGTTGATCCGGCTCATGCTGACATTGTGCTCCTCTGCCAGGCAGCCAAATAGGTCCTTGGAGCTGCACATGAACTGAAGTCGGGGAGGAGGGCAGTGAGGAGTGATCAGCCCTGGGGCCATCCTCACAGGGTAGCAGGCTGACAACTTTGTCTCGGGGGCAGCCTCACATTGACAGGGACAAAAGAGGAGGCCTAGAAGAGGCCGAGTGAAGCTGCCCAGCCACCCCCCAAAGATGGGGCACTTACACCCCCTTAGGGACTTCACTGAGCCGTTTCAGGCTGGGCCCCCTCCTTGAGAGTGAGGAAATAAAAGCCTGTGTGAGGCTCTGAAGAGTCCAATGTGACCCCAGAGCTGAGTATCAGCAGAGGCGAGGACTCCAGGGTCTGGGGGAAACTCTCCTTTCTTCCTGCCTGGGAACGGTTGGCCTGACGGGGCTGGGGCAGTGCTGGGAGGAGGTGGAGCCACCCACCATGTTGATGAAAGCTGACAGGAACACCAGGATGATGGTGAATACCCCAACCAGGGTGCTATTCATCTTGGACCGCACAATCTTCCTGGAAAGGGTCTGCAGTGGGGTGGGGAAGAGCTGGAGTAGAGAGGGGGAGACATAATGGAATTGGGTCTGAAGAGACTCGCTCTTGTATAACCCTCATTTCCTCTGTGCTCTCTGGTATAACCCACCACCCCAGCCCCAAGATGGGAGCTTCCAGACAGCACCACTGCAAATTACTGCCAGTCTTGCAGCTGGCCAGGAGTGGGCCTACCTGGAAACTCACAGTAAGCTTTAAAAAAAAAATTGTGTGTGTGTATGTGTGTAATTTTGATTTTTTTTTCCCTACATTTCTCTCCCACTCCGACCAGGACCTTCTAATGCAATCCCTTTCAGAGTGGTCAGCTGTGGTAGCCGGGCTCCAACTAGTTCTGGAGTTCTGGTCTCAAGGTCATAGAGACTGATGTTCCATTAATCCACTGAACTAATTGTTTCCAAGTGTCTTTCATTTTCATCACTCTTCTTCCCTCCAGACAGGGTGTAGGGCCAAAGAGAAGAATCCATTTTGTATATAAGCTTTAGCATGTCCTCTAGCTCCAAGAAAATGATATATGTATAAATAGCCAGGCAGCTCAAGGCCAGAGGCCAGATGTTTTCCTTTACCCTAGCCTAAGGACAAAGACCACCAGTCCTGACCAATTAAACTGTAACATCTCATAGTTTGCCAATTGTTAACCAATCCAAAGATTGTAAAGCTGAGAAACCTGAGCTGTTTGAAAACTCTATAAAAACCCTGCAGTCAAAAAGTTCGAGGCTCTTTCCCTATTCCACTGCGTCGGATAAGGTTAGAGACCTGGCTCGAGCTTGAATAAACAACCCTTATGTATTTACATCGGTGACGGCTCCTGGATGGTCATTGGGGACCCTGAACTCTGGGCATAACAAGGGAGGGACCCATAGTTGCACCTTAGATGGTCACTCACAACAACCAGAAAGATGGACACTCCCAGGCTTTTAAGACCCGAGTAGCTACTCAGCAAAGTAGGATGTAGAACATTGTCTTTGAGGACTATGTTAATGCCATCTGACTCCGAGACCATGAACCTGAGTTCTCAGGCTGAGCGACAAATTGGGAAGGCTTCTTGGAAGAAGTGGGGTGCCATGGGTCTGAAGATTCAGAGAAGACCTGGGGTCTGGAGGAAGGGATGGTCTTATGGGAGGACAGAGCAGTGTTCAGCAGGAGGGCAAGAGGCCAGGGACGAGGGCATTAAGTAAGCTTATTGTCCAGCAGATTTTGAAGCAGTGGCAGAGACCTGCAAGCCACAAACTATGAACTGAGGGGTGGACACCTTGGACTCAGCAGAGGCAAAGCCCAGATGTGTTCACAAGCCTGTGGCAACGTTCTGGAAAAACAACTACCATACGGACTAATGACACAAAGGACACACACTGAGACTCATGTAGCATGGTGGCTCCATACGATAAGCACTGGACTTCAAATCACAAGGCCCAGACTTTGAGCCCACCAGCCACTCCACAGGAAGAAGATGAGGCTTTCTGCTCTCATGGAGATTTAAAGCCTTGGAAACACTATCCCAGGGTCACTACAAGTTAGAACCAACTTGTCGGCTCTAAACAACACCATCATCTGAAACTCATGATATAAAGAAAGATAAATGTGATTTGGAGAGCATACATTTAAGATTAAAATCCTCAACAGACACAGAATTCTATGGACTAGAAGTGACTCTGGAACAGAACACATTCATGGTCAATTGCGTTTCAACAAGGATGCCAGATAATTCAATGGAGAAAGTATCGTCTTCGACAAATGGTGCTCAAACAACTGAATTGCCCTCACATCATATACAAAGATGACCAGAGACCTAAATGTAAGATCTAAAACCATACAACTCTTAGAAGAAAACACAGAAGTAAATCTTTGTGATCTTAGATTAGGTAATGGTTTCTTAGATATGACACAAAAGGCAAGAACAGTAAAAGAAAAATCAGACCAAATCAGAAAAATCAACCTTCATCAAAAAAATTGTATTTCAAATTAACATCATAAAGAGTGAGAAGACAGCAGAGTGGGAGATAAGTATTACAAATTATATATCTAGTAAGGGACTTGAATCCAAAATATACAAAGAACGCATAACTCAGCAATAAAAAAGACACACAACCTAATTTTTAAATGGGAAAAGCATCTGAATAGGTATTTCTCCAAAAAATATTTTTAAATGGCTAGTAACCACATGAGGAGTTCTGATGTGGTGCTGAAGGATAAGTACTGGACCGCAAGGCCAGTTTGAACTGCAAGGTCGGCGGTTCAAGCTCAGCAGCCAGCTCCTCGGAAACCTTATACAGGGTTGCAATGAGTCGGAACCGATTCGATGGCATTTAACAACAATAAGTACATGAAGGAGTCCTGGTGTGGCACTACAGGCTCAGCACTAGACAAGGTTGGTGGTTAAAATCCACCGGCCATTCCTGGGAAATCCTATACAGGGTCACTATGAGTGGAACCTAACTCAACAGCACGTAACAACAATAATGACAAGAACATGAAAATATATCATTAGTCACTACGGAAATGCAAATCAAAACTTCACAACCGCTAGGATGGCTAGAATCAAAATGTCACACAGTTTAAGTGTTGATGAGAGTGTAGAGAAATTAGAATCCTCATATATTGCTGGTGGGAATGTAAAATGGTGTAAGTGTTTTGCAAAACAGGTAGTTTCTCAAAAGCTAAACATATAGCTTAAAATATGAGTTTTGGTCACTCTGACCCACCAATCATCATTTTTCAAATGGTCGGTATAATGACTGACTTGGGCAAAGACTATCATAGAATGCTAAAACCTTGTTTATGAAAGGCAGATGGGGAGGGAACAAGATATTCACATGAGCTTCCAGACAAACATGTGGGATCACCTAGAGGCCAGGAGAAGAACTGCAGGCTATATTTTAAAAAAAAAATTTCAAACCTGGATGTAGTTCTAACATCTGATGAACGATTGACTCATTGCATTGGCTTGCTAAATGCCTACTTCCTTTGTCACCTTTGACTCTGCAACCTCAGGGGGAACCCAGGAATTGCTGCTATTTTAAAGTCTCCAGAAGTTTTGACATCCCTTCCTGGTATTGGTTTATGGTGTCTAATTTCTTGTAATCAGAAAACTCATCTCTATGCCAACTCTAAATCCCAGATAGCCCCGGTGTGGATTTTAAAACTCGCTACCCGGAGCCAAGCCTGCACCATAGCTGCAATCAGTGCTTGGAGAGGATTTGTAAGGCAAGATAACTGTCTACATAAATGGATCGTTCAGTCCCTGCTCACAGAGCTCAGAAAAATAATCGATTTTTAAAATGAAGTTTAGAACCAGTAGATTCTCAGTCTGATGAATTCAAATCAGTTTAATATGAGAAATGGGTATGGGTACCTCATTAAGAAACTCTGACTGGGATGAGGGACACATAGTTTGGATCCTGGAGTGCGTGTCTCTGGGCAAACAGATGGCCTCCCTGAGCCTTGTTTGTGATGTGAGGCCAGAATGCTGCAGATGAAAGAAGGAAATAAAATCTGATGGTGAAGAGTTTAGGAAAACAGCCTCTTTAACAAGGAGCTATAAAAACAGTAGCTCTTAAGTAGCTCAAGAAAAAAAAAAAAAAAAAGATGAAAACCTCAGAGGGCAAACAAAGCAAGAGGAAGTCCACAGCTGTACATTGGCTGGCCTTTACCAGTCCAGTGGACATATTAACAAAGGTAGTGTCCTAGAGGGGAAGAACCATAGGAATTAGAACTGCCTGGGTTTAAATCCAGCTACATCACAAGAGCCCTCACAGAAGGGGAAGGCAGATCATTCAGTCTACATTTTCCATTGTCTTTTTTTTCTTCCTCTAAATTAAAACATGAACAATATAAAGATGTAAATCCAACTTGTTTTGGGAACAAGGAAAAGTAAAAGAGACAGAAAATGAAATTTTGCCTGACAGAACTGCCTGCCTTTGGATCAGTAGAGCCTGCATATCAGGGTCATTGTGGAATTGTCTTACCTCATACGAAAGGCATTAGCCTTTCAGGGAAGAAGATGAAAAACTTCTGAGTTCTGACAAAGGGCAACTCTTTCCAAAGGGAAAACAGAACCATACTGTAAATTTCATGAAATTTTACTCAGCTTTGTGCCAATACCAGTAAAATAAGCTTTCAGTCAATCTGCCTTCAGTCAGTTTGACCAGTCAGATGACTTCGGTCAGCTCACATTCAGGGAAAGGTCACTGTTCACTCTTAGGGGAAAGAGCAGGTTAATACTCCCTGCTACCGGAAAAAACAGAGTAGAATGATCTCTTTCACATCTTAGTGTACAGTTTAATCTACAACAGGAAAGAAGAAATAATTAAATGGAAGCTAAGTTTACATTACAAACAACTTTCCAGGTTGGGTTCCACTATCCAGAAAGTGGATAATTGCTGAGAAGATTGGTTTATCAAAGGTTGGGAAGGAGGGTATAACAGAATCTGACATGTCAACTTGCAGCTCAGAAAGACAGGTTCCAGATTTTATTCATCACAAGGTACATCTTTTCTAAACAAATTATTTACGGAAGCCCTATATCTGTGAGATGGAAACAGGCTCCCCAGGTGGAAGATTGTATGGCGGCATTGGTGGGGCAGGGGCAGTGTTTCTGGTGGGGGACGGCGCAAGAGGTAAGTGCTGTATTTGAACAGACTTCTTCTGAACAGAGTTTGAAAAAATCATTGGGTTAAATAAAGGAATTAACAACAAGCTTACTGAATTTGACATTGATAACAAAATAGGCAGATTCACTAATACACAAGGAGGCAGAATGATTCTCATAAAAAGTCTTCAACAGTAGGGAAAAGAATGATAGAATGCACTAGATAAAGTACCACTAACCCAAAATGCGAATTTCAGACAGTCAGAGGGAGGGAACTATCCCACCCATCACTATTGTTGTTGACATGGTTAAGTGCCTGTTAATCAGTTCCGGCACATAACACGTAAGGTTTCTGAGGAGCCAGCGACTGGTGACCTTGAATCATCAACCTTGCAGTTCAAATCGACTTTGCAGTTCAGTGCATTAACACACAGCGCCACACCAAAACTCCTCCCACCATCATTGTTGTTGTTGTTAAGTGCCTT